CAGCTTCGATAGTGGAGTCAAGCAAATTGATGAGAGCTTTCCTTGCTGGAAGTGATGACACCAGTAAGCCAGCATCTGTTCTTTTTGATGGCAGACAAATAGGTACAAAGTACAAGATTGTGAACATACTATTTCATTTGAAAAGAAATCAATGAAGAAACTGTTCTCTGTCCTGTTGAAAGATACAATAATAATAAACAAGAGGATTCCACTTTGTCAGAAATAAATCCACATAATAGTGCTACTAAGCTAAAAGAGGATGACCTAACGAATATTTTAACACAAAGAGATATTGGATTTATGAAGTTTGATACAACAGGCTCAGCAATTGTAATACATGCACATCGCACAGAGATTGTTAAAGTTGGAGCACATAAGTTTCAACATAAAGAAGGTCCATTTGATGCCAAAGATGGGCGTTCTTTGAATGCATTTTGGTTCATACGACGCCTTTTGAATGGACAAGAGGTCAATCGTTCCTGGTTAGTGTATTCACCTCTACATAAAGCAGCATACTGCTTTTGTTGTCTTCTTTTTTCATCTGCATGTACGACATCCGATAATCGATCTGCTTTCAAAAAACAGGGTGGATTCTCTAAGTAAAAAAAAATGAAAAATTAAATGCCCACGAAAATAGTGACAGTCATCGTGAGTCATTTGCTGCTTGGAAAGAAACCGCCGAATTCATTTTTAAATTTGCATTGATGAAGAGTTGCAAATGTAAATTCAGCATGAAAAAAATTAATGGAAAGATGTACTGCGACGGTTGCTGAATTGTACACAATATTTAGTTTCTCAGAATCTTGCATTTCGTGATCACACTGAGGACATAACCTCAAATGAAAATCCTGGAAATTTCTTGTCACTTTTGCAGTTATTAGAAAAGTGTGATCCAGTTATGAGAGAGCATTTAGAGCGTGTTAAAAACAAGCAAACATCAACATCTTATCTTTCTCCAGAAATCCAAAATGAGTTTATAAATCTCATGACTTCACTATGTGAG